GAACCAGTCCAGTCCGGTCTGGTTCAACTGGATTGATCTAGATCTAAACAGTTCGATCACCCTTGAGCCTAAGTTGTTTAAGTTGGTCTGACCGGTTTAAACCTAAGTTGCTCGGTCAAACCCAAAATCCAAACATAGCCAAATGACTTTGCCACTTGTGTGAAAATAACATGCATATAATGTGATTTGAACCTTCACCACTTATGTAAACAATAACTACAATAACCACCAAGTTACAACCAACTTGTTTGTTAAGAGAGAGAGAGTTTGTTTTTTAAGTCCATAAATATAAGATTAATGGGTTTGGGCGGGTTGGATTGGGTTAAAGCGGGTTTGGATTAAACCCAACCCATTTAATTTTATGTAACTGGATCATTAATGGGTTAGCGGGTTAGATGAATTAGGTTGAAACTCAACCCAAACCAAACCCAACTCAACCCGCCCAATTGCCACCCCTAGATTTGAAATGGACCCACTTAAAGCTCCTAGGCCCAATAGACTCCCTCCCTTTATTCTTTCAACCTATCTAGAGTGTCACTTGCCCAAAACTGATTGCATTCATTCAAAATATCTTCTTAGAGACCTCGTTTCACTACTTTACAATATTATATCCCCAAATCATAATGCCTTTGTTTATAATTCTATCATCAAATAGGAGATTTTGCACTACATGAAGCAAGATAAAGGCAAAGTATTACCTCATCTATCTCCTGTTTTTCTTTTTCTCCATCACATCTTCCTTTTGCAAACAGTATTAATATTTGATAAGGCCGGCACCATAGAGCTACTTGAGAGTAAAATAATTTTGGCACACCTATAATTGGACTAGACAAGGAGTTAATTTCTCCAAGTCAGCTATCTACTTCAACCCAAATATTCATCGTTGTTGGTTGATTTAGATTGTATTTGGTACCATTGTCACTTCTACTTTGGTATTGGCATTTATAATAGAAACATCAATTTTGGTGTTTCGTGAAGAAACAACAATGGTACCCAATGTTGTATTGTAACTCAAAGCATTTGTGGTAGAAAAAAAATATATATTCTCATAAAATTTGTATTGATCAACCTAAAATGTCACAAGTAGAAATGACAATAATACCAAACACAACCTTAATTAGAGTAAATGTCAAATTAGGAATCTTATCTTGGATCCCCTTAAAAAGAAGGCAGAGACTTTATTTATCAAGGAGGTCCATACTCATCAAGTCTATGCTGGCCTCCATACATTTGTACTTCATGTCCACTACTCTCTTCCCTGTGGATACGTCTAAAGAGCTAAACTCATTCATTAGAGATTTTTGGTACGGTTTCTTTGATGGCAAAAAAGCATCTTTGGTTGTGCTTGGTTGCAGTGCAACTTTATTTACACTAGTACAAATGCATGGGAGTGCAAATGAAAAAAATGCAAATTCTCATTTAATTTTGCTTGGGATTTTATTCTATTCTGCTTCATGTCTTAATTTACTTCATTTATAATGCAATCAAACAAAATAAGCTAAAATTTGAAACAAAAATAGGTCAGAATTTACACTCAAATCATTTGCATTGCCATAGTTTTGCATCAGTACAAATTTATTTGCATTGCAACAAAACACAACCTTTATGTCAAAGAAATGAGAGTTCTTAAAAGTAAAATATTTGGGAGGCCTACGCATCTGAGAAATGAGAAAAACTAACTAGTGCTGATAACAAAACTCGGGTAGTGGCTTCTTGAAAATCCAGACACCTTGTGGGTGACCTTTGGAACAAATATCTCAATGGGTGCTCCTTGGACAAAGCCATCTGACTCACCCTGCTAGACAGCTATCCTTAAGAGCCCTATTCATTTTGAGGATTTTGGGAGGAGGGAAAGTCAGTCAATTGTGATTTTGATTCTAATTGATCAATGTACCAATGTTCTTTTTTCAGATTTATGTAGCATCTACAGAAAATTCATTTTCCCTAGCTATCACTTACCTAGGTAACCTATACCAACCTCCCAAGTGGATAAGTAACTTTCCCGCTTGAAGGAAAGTTGTTAACACTTAGACAGGTCAAAATTGTCTTTTTTAATAATGGTTTTTTATAACTAAAACGATTATTGTCTCATTTACCTGAGAAATAAAAGAACATGGATAAATGCAATTACCGGGGTAAGTGTGTCCAGTATTTTCAGGAAACACTTACCCAAATAAGTGCATTTACTCAGTTAAGTGGCTTTCCAAAAAACGAACGGAGACTAAATGTCAAGAATTGATAGATCATGGTTCTTGTTGGCTAATTGGTAATGGATCTCTTTGGATGCCTGGCATGTTCTTTGGATTCTAGGGGCATTCCTAACTTCCGACCTGACCCTACTTTCGTACTAGTCCAACCACTTCCCATCTCATGTTCGGTTGATAGCAATCTCAACCAATGGAACAATGACCTGCTACAGATATACTTCGATCCCTTTACTGTGGATAGAGTTATTATGGGACTAAATTCTAGCCTAGAATTTATCGAAGAAGAGTGCATTAACCACAAAATCAACCTAATGGAAACGGATTCCCCCCACCCCCTCCCCCAGGATTTCCGTGTTTCTTTGGGGGTGCTATATCTACAAAAGTGACCCTATCTAAATATTGTTACATATCAGTCCGTATTGGCCGATATATATCGTATCAGGGCCTTTCCGATACACCGTCAGGCTATGGTTCAGAGAGTAACCAGCACTTAAATCAATCTTTCTGAACCGGTTTAAAAAAATAAATAAAACATAAAAAAGCACTGATATAGGACGATACACCCTACCGGCGTATCGGCCTGTATTGATAGAACCTTGGTCCTTTGAACTTTTGATCATTCTTTTTTCTGAAGTGCAAAGTGACTCAATTAATTTGGTTTGGATCCCCACTATACTCAAGATAGATGATGAAATCCTAACCTTCAACTCATAGCTCAGTTATTGGCTGTTGAGTGAAGACAGCCCCCACAATGTTGATGGATTTCTCAAAGATTCTATTGCCATCCATGTATAGCAAATTTGGAAGATGCAGAACGAGACTTTTCTTAACAACGGTGGACTCATTGAAACCTATAGTGAGAACCCAACACCTTGTTTCAGTTTACTGCTCATGGGACCCCTCGTAATCAACAATCACTCCTTCCCTGCCTAGAGCCCATTAGTTGGCTTGGACACCTCCCGAGGCAAATGTCTTTAAAGTTAATGTCAATGGGGCCTATTCTCTTTCATCTGCAAAGGACTGTGATCATAACCGGAGACTGCAAGGATGCCCACATAGAAAGTCAGACCACCCCTTTTCCTGCCTGTTCTGCAGTTGAAGCGAAAACTCGAGCATTCCTCGAAGGTCTCTCACTGACGGCCCAACTCAACCTCACGGAAGTTATCATCGAGGCCCTTTTGCTTTTCGGTAAGTTATTTACTCAGGTAAATACAATTATCTGGGTAACTTTTTCCTAGGAAACACTTACCCCGGAAAAGTTCATTTACCCATGTTCTTTTATTTCCTAAGTAAATAAAGTAATGACCATTTTAGCCATAAAAATCCATTATTAAAAGGGGCATTTTTGTCCCATTCAAGTGTTGGCAACTTTCCCTCTAGGTGGAAAAGTTATTTACCCACATAGGATATGGGTATCACTTATCCAGGTAAGTGATATCCAACAAAATAAACTTTCCTTGCTCCCCACAAATCCGAAAAATGAACATGGGATTCTTGGTCAATGGAAACCAAAACCCCATTGACCAACTTTCCCCCCTCTCAAAATCCAAAAAAAGAATACCCCCTAAAAGTAATGTAATGGACATCATCCATACCCTATCTGATGAGGATACCACCACTCACTAGCTCATACTCTCCTTTGTTGCTAGTTACAGGGACCAGATAGCCACCTTCGACTGAATATTGCTGTTCAATACTCTCTCATGTACTTGTATCATATGGGTCAATTCTACTTTGGACCAAATATTGCTTACCATCTAGAGGGAATCTCCTTGTAACTGAGTTTTATTGTTCAATGAACCTTGGCTTATGCCTTTCAACATTACAAATTGATACTTAATCAAGCACAGAATCGATTATTGCAAGCCAATGCTAAACTGTTAAAAATCCCATATCAAGTGATGCGTATTGGTTTTTCAACACACTAAAACACCATTTAAAGATACCACGATTTGTACAAATCCCATATCATTTATTATTGTTTAAATTTATATGGCCGTGCCACTGCAAATGTAGTTGTTAATACTTGAAAACAAGTCGCCCGATGAAAGAGAGATTCCTCCACTAAGCTATACAATACCACAATTGTCAAAATGTAATGTACCTTAACTTTTTAAGACTTTAAACTATTTTATAAACTTTTTCTTATTGATTTTATTAATTAAAAAAAATGAAAAAAATAAATAAATAACTAATCTAATTCTTCTACTGTTCTACCCATGGTTTTCAAAACCGGACCAAACTGGACAGTCAGAACGGAAAAACCAGGAACCAGTCACTTGACCAGTTCCATTTTTCCCCCAAACTGTTGATTTTGGTCAGCAAACCACTGAACCGGCCAGTTAACCGTTCAAACGGTTTTGACCGTTTTTCAATTTTTTTATTTTTTTATCTTTTTTATCAGAACGGGCCGACCATTCAGGTCAAATGGTCTGACTGTTTGACCCAGTAACCGGATCCCTGACCGGTTCGGTCACCAGGTCGATTTTAAAAACCATGGTTCTACCATTTCCCAATTATCTCCTTATCATATCCCAATAGTTCACAATCCACATAAACAATTATGGCATGTCATGTATACATGTGCATAAACATTATTTGTCATATGATACTTATGTTCAATTTTATTCATATATTTCAAAAAAAGAAAAAAATATATATATTTGAGATTCCCTATCCATCATATATGGATTTTTCAATCATACCTATATGTATCCAGATACAGTTTCTTAAAATTGCATATTTGATACTTTTTGCATTTTTAATAATATAAACGTTGTCTCTAATAATATGTAATGTCGCTTAAGTCATCATTTCTTCCTCTACTTGTTTAAATGTTCAGCTATTGCTCAAATGTAGATAATGGTTACACTTTACCCTATCAACAAATTGATGAATCAACCATATCCTTGTGATGTATTACCAAGTCTTCAACAGTTTAATGACATCAAACAAGAAGTCAACACTAAACAACTGCTTGCGATTAAACATCAGCAGCTCTTAACCACTACATTGCTTGACAAGAATATAATTTGTAGCCTTCTATCATGACAAATTAATCTATTTATATTGTTTCCCTTTTCTTTGAAATTGCTTCTTTCTTTGTCATCGTCCAAAATGCTGCATAGTACCGATTCTGCAATTTATGAATAATTACTTAGTGGCCACGGATCAATTTATAGATGAAATTCATCCCATAATGTAAAAGATTTCTGGAGTCTTGCATTAGGCAACATCTGTAGTGCGTTTTATCTATTGAGCCTACAATTCAAGACCTAAAAGGTCTCATAGTTTTTGATCATCCTCCCTCCAATACAAAATATTTATTTGGGACAAAAGAAAGAAGGAAATGAAGCACAGCCAAAGAAGCATGCAAATTTGTACATCGAATGGAATACTTACTTGCATCATGGATCGAGAGTTTGCAGTGTACGTAGTTTCAATAGTCTTTTCTCTCTGATGATAGCAAGAATTGATCAGGCACACATAATCATTAGCCTCACTGATGATTTACAAGAATAAAAGTAAACATGCATCTTACCTCTAATTGAAATCCATAATGGAATGCAACCCTCTTCACATCTTCCAAACTAATTTCAATGGACATCTCCTAGAAAGAATACAAAAGGAAAAGAACAAGGACATTTAGTGAGTAATGAGTTATTGCCTGGAGAGGCAGGGGGAAGGGGATGGAGGGTATAGCAAGTTACATCATCTGGTCCATATGCATCTGCGAAGTGATAGAGTAGGGGGCCCAAGTTTATCCATACCTAGGAATATAAAAATTAGCATAAAATATGTTTCAATTATGAAAAAAAGGGACAAGAAAAAGGTTAGCTATGTAGGATGAAAGAGAACTAATTAGCAATAGTAATATAGATCGTGAGAGATCTTATAGATTGAACAGAGCAGGCAGCGACCAAATGATAAATTAAGTCCCAAGGAATTAGAGTATAAGATACTGAAGGGCAGCCCCCAGTTATTACTTCTTTACAGCTTAAACTTACTCCACCATCTTTTAGGATCCTTGATATGATCTCGATGTATTCAACAATGTTGTGTGCCGTATCAAGGAAGAAGCAAGTCACTACAGCATCCCAAACTCCTGCAAGCATACCAGAAGGGCCACCATAACAATATAAGTATTAATTAAAATATCAGAAGCTGACATGAGAAAAAACATCCTGCAACCGACAAATTCCCCATTTTCCTATGACATGAGAAAAAAAAAATCCTAGGATAGAAATGTTGGGAGGGGGGGTATTTGATAGCCTCACGTAATCTGTAATACATGCTTCAAATACCCAGTTCTTCATGTGAAAAACTTTTCTCCAACAATAATAATAGTAAATCAAAGAGATGGTATGATTACAAGCAAATAGAAAATAGAGAAATAAAAAAGCAAATGCAAGAAACAACATTTATGTGGTTCGGCAAATTGCCTACGTCTATGGATGAAAGAAGCAAGAGAGAAAACCCTAAGAGCCAAAATACCTTGCTCAACAAAATATCCCAACACTGGTTTTCAAAATACCTCTTCATCTCACCCCCAAATCTCTGTCACTCTTGCAAAAAGAAAACCCTCACCAAAAATCAATATACATACCTAATAGGTTACCCAAAAGATACCCAATAAGAGTTGGTTCCCAAAAAGGACACCACTCCCCAAAAAGGAAGGTATTGACTACATCCAATTGATGTAGATCCCAAGAAAAGTTTGGAATCCAGAGCAAAAGTATCCTTGTAGTCAATACCTTCCTTTTGGGTGAGCCACTTTGCAACCAACCTAACTTTGTATGTTTCAATCAAACCATCAACCTTGTGTTTGATTGTGTACACCTACTTGCACCCCACAATGTTCTTCCCATCTAGTAGATCCAATAGCTCCCAAGCTTTTGCTCTCAATAATGCTCTCGTTTCTTCATCCATAGTTTTCTTCTATTTGGTATCAATAACAACCTCTAAAAACCTAGGAGTAGAGACAGAGGACAGGGCACAAACAAAAAAGTGATAGACAGGAGATAAATGAGAGTATGAGAAAAATCTATTTATAGGATAAAGAGTGCAGGATCAAACTGGTTTCCACAAAGCAAATAGGAAGATCTGAATCAGAGCTAGTGGATGCAGGATGAGAAACCATACCTTGGTTGGTTAGGATGAGAACACCCAATTTATTGCAGTTAGGAACTAACAAATCTCTCTTTCTTTTGCTTCCTAAAACACTTACATCACAACACTTAGGAGCAGTGCCTTCTGTGCAAGGAGTATTACCAACACGGGTCCTATCAATTGGAGGCCCAACTGGACAAGTAGACTCAGTGAGCTCGTTAGGAACCGAATTAGTTGCAGTTGAAAGAGGAGCAGCAATAAGGACAAAAGGATTAGCCCCTAAGGAAGTCTCTTCCACTCCACTAGTCTCTCCCTAAAGTCCCTAAAGAGGATTTTGATAAGGGTGCCACCTTTTGTAATGAACTTCCTACTAGTAATTGGATCAAAAGCACTAATCCCTTTTGAGTAGGAGAATAGTCCAAAAACACCCTACAAATTGCCTTACATAGTTTTCAAGGCGCCAAGGCGACCATGGGGCGCCCAGGCGCCTAGGCGGGCACCTAGCCCTCTCCTAGGCTATGGAACTTAAAAATAAGAAGCCGATGGATTTCTACCCCTTCTGTACTAGTTTTTTTGGTTTTATGTATTCTGCACTTACTTTTGTGCTTGTGTTTCATGCAGTGTTGCTTGATGAGAACAATTACTAAAATAAAAGAAGAAAATGAAGAAGAAAAGTAAGGGGCGGAGCTGCTGTTCTAGACCCAGAAAAAGAAGGTGAAAAAATATTAAAATAAAAGAAAAAATATGAAGAAAAGAAGGGGCTCTGCCCCTGTTTCAGATATCAATGATGAGAACAAAAGAAGGGCTGAAAAATGCAAGAAGCTAAGAACAAAAGAAGGGGGCGGAGCCCCTGTTCTAGGCCCAGAAAAGCTGGTGAAAAAAATACTAAAATAAAAGAAGACTATGAAGAATTTCAGACACAAATAATGAGGGAAAAAGAGCTGAAAAGAAACAAGAAATTTCAGAACAAAAAAAGGGGGCGGAGCCCCTGTTTTAGTCCAATAATATGATTCAAACCAGGAAAGAAGAATGGTTTTAGTCCAACAAGGAAGAGAACAATAGGGCGTAACCACTGTTTTAAACCAGTGGAAAAAGAGAACAAAACGAAGGAGAAAACTGATTAACTGACCTTGACTTAGAGGATTGTGTCGGAACGATGGAGGGCTGTTGTTCTCTCTTCTTCCTCATTTGATTCTTTTGTCAAAGTGAAACCCTTGAGATATTTTGTTTTTACTTTCCTCGTAACAAAAACATGATAACATGCAACATGTCCTATACATGTGTTTCAGTCCCCTCAACATGTGCCTAATACATTTTCTCTTGGCGTTTGGGCGAGGCGCTCCTTGAAAAGCACCTAGTTGCCTAGGTGTCGCCTTGACAACTATGTTGCCTTAGGATCCAGCATCATGGTTCACTTAAGATCCTCAACATGAATGAAACACACACAACGAAAAACCTTTGGTGGTAAAGAAAAACAGTTTGACCTAGACATGGAACATAGAAGGTGGTCTTCATACCGAATAGTCGAGATAATATCCTGTTGGTCAAATAAGATATAGTGAGAGCAACATGAGACCAGAACTTCTTTGGAACCTTGCTTTGAAACAAGAGGAGCACATGCAATTTCTAATATGTCTATTTTTTCCTCTCTGCAACTCCATTATACTATGGAGTGTAACTACAAGAAGATTGATGTAATGTTCCCTCATCTTCAAATAACACATTCAGAGGGTTCTTGAAATAATCGCCAGCATTGTCAAAATAGAATTGTTTAATCTTCTTCCCAAATCGATTCTCAATCATCTTGCAAAAGACTATGGAGATCCTAGGTACCTCCTCTCTTTCTTTCTTCAAGTAAATCGAAGTACACCTCATAAAGTGATCAATAAAACTAATAAAGTAACGATAGTCATCCATTGAAATAATTGGTGAAGGACCCCACACGTCAAAATGAACCAAATCAAAAGGAGCACTAACTTCATTACTATAGCTTGGATAGTTTATTCTACAATGCTTAGAAAATTCACATACTTTACAAAAATAAATTCTCAATTGGCACTCTTTCAAATAACTTTGGAAACAGAACTCTTAACAACATAAAAGACAAATGAACCAATCTGGCATGCCATAGATAGTCCACTAGACTCCTTGCATTCACCGTTATGACTTGTTGAAGCTTTAAGAGCTGAATTGATATCTTCATTAGTTAGTAGGGACAACCAACCCCCAAAACCACTCCCAACCATTTGATTTGTCAACTGGTCCTAGAAGACAATTTGTAGGAAAAGAGTCACAATACAATCCATGGTCTTGGTGATTTGAGAGACTAAAAGCAAATTAGTAGTAAAGTTGGGAACATGCAAAGCAGACTTAAAAGAAAGATCCTTTCAAATTGAATATCCCCTTTTCCATGAATAACGAAAAGATAGCCATCAACAACTCTCACTTTATCTTGTCCAAAACCAAGATGGTAAATTGAGAAATAGGAAGAATTATTTGTCATGTGTTCAGAGGTCACTGAGCCAATGGCCCCTGAGCCATAGGATTAAGGCTGAATGGCACTAAGGCCAAAAGCAATACTTGTCTTGGCAAAGGATGAAGAGGATAGTGGATTGTCTCAATCGAGCCATAGCATGATTGAGGATGTCTACCTCTTTGGCTGTGAATTCAGGGAGGCTATTAGGAGTAGTGGTTTGTCCCAGACAAGAAAAAGCACTAGGGTTGCAGACTTTTGCAGTCCATCCATCATATTCTAACTTGCTATATCACCATATGTTCCTTGATCCCGAAAATTGAAGGAGCTACAAACTTGAAAGATTTCAGACCGATTAGCCTCCTGAACATACTCGGGATTGAGTCCAGTGAGGAACTCAAAGGCCTGATTTCTCTCCACTAACTTCCTATGAGTCTCAGCATCTTTAGTACACCCCCACACAACAGTTTCCATCAAGTCGATCTCCTGGCAAAGAGATTTCAGCACAAAAAAAAAATCAGCCAATGGTTTCTCCCCCTATCTTAAATTATTGGCATCATTAGGCCCTAGCAACATTCAACTTCTGAGAATAGGTCTTTATAAATGTTTCCAATTGCTATCAGAACTGAAGATTAATCTCAACAAGAGTGACAATTGGTGTAGGGGAGGTCCAGCAATCAGTTTTTGAAATGTGTGCCAGCTCGTTGGGTTGTTTGATTGGGGAGTTCCCCCTTTCTTATCTTGATTTGCCTATCGGAGCTAGGGCAGTTGCCTCCTCTATTTGGCAACCTGTATTGAATCGAGTTGAGCAAAGTCTTTCTGGGTGGAAGGGGCAAGTATCTTTCTTTTGGTGGGAAGATCACCAGCTTGGTGATAGAAGAAATAGAAAACCTTTAAATGGAGTTTCTGTAGAATGTTAAGGTGGAGAATAAATATCATTTGGTTAAATGGGAATAGCCAAGTATAGCTAAAACAGATGGGGGGTTGAGCATTAGGAGGGTGGGGATGTTCAACAAAGCATTGTTGGGGAAATGGGTTTGGAGGTTTGGGAGGGAGAGGGAGCAGCTTTGGATAAGGGATGTAGTGGGCAAATATGGGGCGGTAAATTTTGTGTGAGATGTAAGGGAAGTGAGATCTTCTTATGGGTTGAGTGTGGAAGGGGATCATGAGATTTAATTCATTACTTCTTCCGCTTATGTCTTGGAAGGTGGGGTGTGGTCCTAGTGTGAGGTTTTGGGAAGATGATTGGCTGGGGGTGGGCAGACGTTGTGAGTTGTGCCCAAGGTGTTACAGTTTTTGTAGTAAAGGGGTGTGAGTCTCTCAAATGTTATGAGGTTAGAAATAGTAAGGTGGTATGGTGCCCCACCTTTAGGAGACCATTGCTGGATGGGGAAATGGAGGAATGCATAGGGTTGCTGTCAATGCTGCCAAAGGCCATAACTGATCCAGAGGTAGTGGAAGGTTTACCGTTAAATCTCTATACGATGCATTGAATAGAAATCAGGTGGAAGCTACTTCAATCAGAGGATTTTGGGGGAAGACAGTTCCTTCAAGAGTGGAGGCTTTTGCATGACTGGTGTCAATGGCCAGGGTCCTTACGCAAGACAAATTGAAGAAGAGAGATTTAATTTTGCCAAGCAGATGTGCCTCATGTTTTTCAGAGGAAGAAGACTTATTTCATCTAATGGTTAGCTGCTGTTTTGTGAAAAGGAATATGGGTTTTTTTCTTCAAGCTTTTCAGAGCAGTTGGCTGGTCTCCTGTTAGGCCTGCAAAATATTTTTGAAGCAAGGCCAAGACTTTCTGGGAACATCAAAGTCAAAATTCTCTGGAGCCGCATATCTTTTGCTGTTTGTTGGGAGTTGTGGAAGGAAAGAAATAGAATAATTTTTATGAAGATGAAGAGTAAAAAAACTCAGTGGCAATTAGATCAAATCTTGTAGATTGGGTTTTAATTATTCCAGAATTTGAACAGATCAAAAAAGAAGATTTTGGTTCGAATTTTTGGTCTACATTGTCAAATTAATTATTGTATGGGGTTTTAGCTTGGTCTGTTTTGGAGTTCTCTTTTGTATAGCTGGGTGGTGTCATCTTGTCACCTATAGACTTCTTTACCTTTTTTATCATTAATAAATTTTCTTTTTTATTTATCTTTAAAAAAATTCACTCCCACATTTTGTATTCTACAGAATCTTCTTCTTGTTCTTTGGTTTTCCCATTAATACACCCTTGCTGCTTACATCCTCCAATAAACATCCTTGTTGATTCTGACCACTCCAATTAATTTTAATTTAGTGATCTGTAAAGGAAATTGCTCTGAAACAAGATCTAAACCTGAAGTAGAACTTGTAGCAAATTAGCAATAAGTGTCACCTCACTATTTGTACATAGTTTAACTTCATTAATGAAAGTTATAGTTGGTGGAAACACTTCAAAACATGCACTAGTACCCAGCACAATAAAAGTAACAAATATTCACCATAGGAACAAGTTTGATGGTCCAAGAGAAGAACTCAAATGCACCAAAGCAATTAATCAATTTCCTTGAACTATCAGAAAGTTCCAGCCATCTTGAAGAAGCTCAAAGGTTTCTTTTGAGCCAAGTAATAAAATAGATGATAAATTATCTTTCAAAGTATTTAATATTGATCCAAATGACATATGATCAACTTTTGCATCCAACAAAGTATCGTCAATCAACCAACACCAGTCAGTCCACTTAGCAAAGTCCCTCTTGCATGTGTAACAACCCAGAATCATGAGACTGGAAACATTCTGATTTTTCAAAAAAAAAAAAAAGAAAAAATCTTTAAAGATGCAGACTGCTTAAATGATCTTAAAAGAATCATTTTAAGGCTTATAAATCCACCTCTTCAAGCAGTTTGATTTCCTGTCTTCAAAGGAAGTTCAGTTATCTAGCATCTGACATCACCTGCATGGTGAAGGGACTAGAGGTGGGTACAAGAGGCAGACAAAGGGCTTGAATCATCTAGGAGGGTCTTGCGGTATTGTAAGTAGGCATCAGTTGGGTTGGGGAATTAGAGGGTAATTCACCAGAGGCAGCCAATGGTCATTAAGGTTTCATGCTGTGGTTAGCAGGGGCTAAAGGCATGGTTGAATCAGAGGGAGTTTCAGGGATCATTACACCTTGATTTTGTGTGGGCATTTCAAAGTCTACCAAGTTGTGGTTGGAAGGGAGTGAAGGTTGGCTTAGATCAGGAGTGTCATAATTTTTCCTCGTATTAGTTTGTGCATTTTATGATTTCTTTGAGGGAATGTGCTCTTGCATTGGCTAATAGGATTGGCAAGGTTAGGGGTGTTGTTAGTTGATGCATAGAGTTTAATGTACAGGACTTGTGGTTCGCTTCATACCTTTTGTTGTTTTCCTTTGCTTCATTTTACAATGAATGCCATGGACTTCTTGTATACCTTCTCTATTTTTATTTCAATACATTTTCTTTTACCATAAAAAACAATACCATTAGGGAAAATACAAACCACAAACACAATTGACCAATACAAGAATGTGGTTGACAGCCGTAATCGCCAAGGCAATGCCTAGCCAACAAGGCACCCTTTAAGGGTCACCCAGCACCTACATGTTTTTGTATAAGAAACCACAATATTTTTATATTTTTTATTATATGATACTTATATTATTATAATATATTATTATACTAAACTATTCATCTTGTTGAGTTATAATATTTTTATAATTCTTCTACTAGTTTCTTTTTATTATTTTCTTCAATCAACACACAAGTTGGTGTAGTCTTTAACCCTTCAAGACTTCAAAACCTGAACCACTAAGTAATGAAGAGCTTGAAGATTTTATCCAATCAACACATAAAAGCAACCGAGGAATGTAATCTACTTGTTGCTCAGCCCCTATGTTTTCTATTTTTTCTTTTCTTTCTTCTTTATCTGATCATAATTATATTGATTTTCTATGTTTCAGTAACAAGTTCATACATATGGCATGAGGAATATGGTAACTATTAGTTAAAGATTATTGTTTATTACTGTGAAACCTAGGGAACTACCCTAGTATTATTTTTTTTATTAAAAACAAACAAACAAACCCATTGCCTAGGTGACTAAGTGACGAGGCACCCCCCCAGTTGCCTTAGCTTTGCCATGGCACCTCAAAAACTATGTCTACTGCCTAAATTTCAGCTGTAGTTCTGTTTTAATAATGAACAAATCTATTTTATATATTAAGGTATAATAATGACTAAATATTTATCTTAAAACAATTATAAAAAGATCAGAACCATAGAACATCTACCTTCTTGGCTAGAATCACTATAAACTTCGACAAAATCACCACCACACATAGAAAATCCTTCAGTTATTCCTGCACTGTTTGCAAAACAAACTTGACAATTATTATTTGGCTAAAAGGGAAACATAGTGTAGTACATACTTATTGAACACTTACACTAGAATTAAGATAAGCAATGGGTAATTAGCATAATTCAAATATTATAAAGTTACTTTTCATTTATAAATAGAAAAAACAAAAGTGTCAAAGTGAAACATTAGAAAAACAATATACATCATCATCACACTGTTATCATCCAATTTATCTCAATTTTGTGGGATCATTCCACAGATTCTGTTATTTGACTCCACTTTGTAAGACCATAATTTCTTTTAAGAATGATTGTATTTTATCTTTACCCCCCCCCCCCTCCACTCTGTCTAGAGTCAATCATTCTGTTAGTTGATTCCATTTTGTAGGACCACAATTTCTTTTAAGAATGATTGTGTTTTATCTTTATCCCACCTACATGCATTCAGTTCAATAAATCCCCACCCCCCTCTTCCACTCTGTCTAGAGACAATATTTGTTAAATGAAGTTGGGTTCCCAGGAATTCAGCACTAAGTAACTTAGATGGGGCCCTGCAGGGCCTCCACATGATTCAGCATACCACTGTGTTTTCACAACTCAAAATTTTATCCTGGCTGAAAGAATTTTCTTCTAAAGAGTGAATCTACCTTAGGGGTGTTTTCTCTAGAACAAGAGTGTTTCTAGCAGCAGAAGCCCCGATAAGGCAATAACTTCAACCAATTTGGCCAAGTACCTTTCACAAACTAATAATGCAGTAGCTCTCAATGGTGTTGACGCCCAATCTAGCCTCAGATAATTGGCCACAGACCTTAGTTGTTGATCTACACAGCTCACAAGGTCACCGTATGTCCTCTCTTACTTCCCCAAGCTTGAGAAGAAGATATAAACGCATTGAATGTTTCTCCTTTTACTCTTCCTCTCTGCTCAATAGAAAAATGCAAATTTTGCCTCAAATTATTCTCAACTATGATATTGCAATATCAACAAGATTTAGGGAAATCTCCCTGTTTTTTTCTCTCATAGAGCCAACATATTGCGGATATATCAGCAATATTTCACTTTTCATTCATAAATTATCCTTCTATGATTCAAAATTTTAGAATATCAATGAAACTTTTTGATATTTCATTAAAATTATTGAAATTGTTTTAAATGTCTTATTGAAAAAACAAATGGGGATTTTGTAATTTGATGATTGAGAGAAGGCATGAATCAATCTGTGGAATCATACCAATTTAATCAGAATTAAAAATAGTACAAAATACAATAAAGCCCTTAGTTGCATGAATTTTGCAATGACATAAATACCACTCTTATATAAACAGTCCTCAAGTTGAGCATGGATAATAAACATGCCCAGCTTGCATAGATTCTTTTCAAGCTTGCCCTTTCGGAAGCCCTTTCRTCAAGCAATCAACTAATTGATTAGCTGAGAGTATAAATGGTATGCACACCTCCCTACTATCTATTAATGCTTGAACAAAATGTTTGTGCATATCTATACATTTGGCCCCATCATGTCAAACTGGATTTTGAGCGATGTTTATGGAAGCTTGATTGCAACAAGAGTTTCATTGGTTTCTCATATGGAATACCTATCTTTACTGTCAGATTCCTTGGCCATTCCTTGAATATTAAGTTTCTGCACTAGAACAAGCTACCAAGAACTACTTTATGAAATAAAATTACCTCTTACAGAAGTACAATAACCAGAACATACCAAGTCACTAAAATTCAAAAAGAAAGAGAAAATTCCATATAATAACAAAAGAGTATTTTCAATCTAACCAAAACATATAGTAACAAACAAGACAAAAGTCAAGATGACAAGTGACATTTAATGAAGAGAAGATACCTATTAAAGTCTCTGAATTTTCTCCTATTTGATTTATACAGTTCTTTGCCATGGTTTTTGGAGCCTTAAGGCTATCTTTGGTTTGAAAGAAAAGAAAGGAAATTTTGAAATATTCCAAAAGATTCCAAATCTTCCTTTGTTTGGTTCGACCTCAGGTGAAGAAAAGAAAACAAAATAAGAATATTTAAAATCACAAAAATAAGGAAATGGTATCCCCCCATTTTGGTGGGAAACCTTTTTCCCTCGAGAAAGAGGAAGCTCCAAGGAAAAAAAAAAAATCAGGTCATCTCTTCTCTTTCACTTCAGCTTACCGCTAAATGGCCCCCTACGACCATCTTCAGTCAAGTTTGATAGAAAAAATTGCAAAGCAGTCACCTGTGCTCTAGCAACTAGAGAGTCGACAAAGATTCTCAAGTGAAACCCTCATTGCAAGGTTCTTTCTTCGTCAAGTTAATTATCTTCTCTGCTACAAATATTCTTCCTTCGTCTAAGGCTGTAGATCAGGCATCTTCTCAAGTAGGAAGATCACTGTCTGATCTCTACTTCTCTCTCTTCTCTCTCCTCACCCTCTTTTTCTCTATTCTCTCCTCTTCTCTGCAAGTCGGGCTGATCTCCATGTGTTGATAAATATCTTTATTAAAGAAAAAAAAGTTTGACAGTACTCTGCGAGAAACAGAAAAAGAGACACATGTTGCATTGTACAAGACTTAACTCTCTCGTGTCACTGTTAATAAACAAATGGAACTTACCATTTCTGAATGCAAGTTTACATAAGGTTTTTCTTGTTTCGAATTGCATGTTCTTTTTTATCGTGGCCATTTTTTAGGTCAGTAGATCTAGAGTCATTTATAAGAAGTTTTATGCTTTTGATTGCAAATGAACTGCCATATTCTTCTTTACTTCTGATTTTGCAACCCAACTGTTCATTTATTTGTTTGTGTGAATTTTATTGTCTCAGAATTGCAAACTATATGAATTAGAATTGGGTATCCGTGACTATTTATGATAGACTGCTTTTTTTAACTTGTTTAGACACAAGGCATTTTTAGTTGTATTTGGTTTTTCTAATATGAAATTGCAACTCTTCCAGTCACTGGAAACCAGTCAAGCAAACTTGGATAATTTAGTTTTGGATGTCTGACCCATGCAAAACACTAGAAACTTGCACATTGTAAAACAGTTTAAGTTGGAGAATGTAAATTCTAATTAACACTCATGCAAGAAGGATGTTTAGGGGTTAAAACAAATTTGACTTTTGTTTATGGGCAATTTGAGCAGGGGAGGTTTCACCAATCACAGTGGAGAAGATGCAGGAGTTGATTTCCCTGATACAGATGAAAGCCTAGAAATACAGCATCTTCTCAACTGCAAAGATAAGCTGCCAAGACTGTCAGTTGATGTAAAACCTTGCTGTCAACTTCATTGCCCAATTATCCAATTGAAATCATGATGATAATCCACCAACCACAGGCCTCAAGCATCTTAACAATATAAAAAAAAGAGAGATCAGGCAAGAAGTGCATATCACATTCCAAAGGCAATAGGTCACCTTTTGTTTTATACCCTCTTCCCATATTGTTAGAAAACTTGTCTTTCCCATTAAATAAATAAAAATAAAAGAATCTCAATACAGCAAATAGAGGGGAAGAAAGAATCAATTTATATCTCCTTCATCTCCCCTCAAAATCACCATTACTATCCAACCTAATTAATATGGTGTTAATAGTACCCATGTGTGTAAGCTGAAACTTGAGATGTATCCTACAAATGGTAGAATGGAAAGCCATTCTTCATCTAATGGAATTAATATTTTACAGATTCTTTTAACATTCAGTGGATCTAAATTTTTTTATTCTTAACAAAAGAAAATTTATTGAGAAAATATAAAAAGGTACAAAGATTAAGCATGGTAATGATTTGTCACCTGGACACATAGTATTGAAACGCATTCAAAGGTACATCATTTTAACAATCAATAGTCTCTAAAACCTTGCCCCAAAATCTGATCCATTGGCTTATGAACATTCAAGCAGTAAAATCAGCACCCAATCTCATGGACCATTTCCCCATTCTCAGATTCTGTCTACTTGCATTTACCAAATCAATGGCTAGTCAGGAAATACAAAGTTGCTTCCCCATGGAGGTTCCAATGAGTACACTCAGCTCAGTTTCTATGGAATCATTATCATATATGAGGCTCAAAGAAAGATCCCCCGAAGCCTTGATAAAACTCCACCTATCCATATTGGACCAGGATTCCCAATTTACCTACTATAAAAAATAGAGTTTTGTGACTCATTCAATAGGAGGTGTATCCATTACTTGTTTCTGACTCAGTTTTATGCATCTATGTAAACATTTAGGCATCTACATGTTTTAGTGCGCTGAACGAAAAAAAAAAAATACTACAAGCTTTAAGGAAGTTTATGGCATCAGAAAAATATTAACAAATGATAACCACAACAAGAGAGGTTGGTGCTGGACAATTCTGTGTATTATGGTCAGCACACCCACAAACAGTTGATCATTTATTTCTACACTGTTATGGAGCTAGAAATCTGTGGGCAAGATATCTTGGCTTTTTTGGGCAGAAAATTTGTTTCCCAAGTTGTGGAAGAATTACAGATCGGAAAAAAAGTTATATGGAAGATTCTTCGGTAGATAGTATCTGTGGTATTTGTGCAAAAGTTCTATGGAAGATGCATGACTAGAGAAGATGTATTTTGGTGCTTGAATGACGTTGGCATCAATTTTTTATTCCTTAGAACCAGTGTTACAGCCCCTTATTTTGGTGCATAAATGTCACTAATGCATTTTCAGTTTCAGCATATCCTGATTTTAGATTTAAATAGATAACCCAAGAGTTTAGTTTGCACTTACATTGTTAATTTAGGGGTTTGAACTTGACGGTCTTTAAACCCTAGCTTGGAGTGTTTCAATTTCAGCATATCATGTTTGTGCTTTAATCCAAACAATGGTAACAGGTTTAAGAGAAACAGGTTTGCTCTGTTACTCTGTGATATTTTACCTGAATTCCTACTGGTTATCAGGAAAAAAATTCATTTCCATTGTTTTATATGAATGGAAATGAAACTATTGTATCAATTTTCCATTTCTATAAACAGAGTTAGGTTCAATTGATGGACTGCAAC